TATCTATGTCAACAGGCCTTGATTTACATAGATTGGCCTTGACAGTAAACTTAAAATGACAAATATAAAAAGCTTTGTAACAACGTGACAACATGACAACATTCTGGCTTTCATTAACATATTTTACAATAATTATATATACAGTTGAAACTGTAACTTCAGCTGTCTTCTAAACATACTAGCACATATTTTCCCTCCTAAATTATCAATTTTTTTAAACCATCACTGATCAAATTTATTACCAAAAAAAAGATTCCTAAAACGCCAACCAAAAAAATTAAACAAGAAAGTACTGTTACTTTACTACCATAGTTAGTTGCTAGCTACAATACATTTACCTACATAATTGGCATATTATATCTGTACAAGGTTGTTGTACACGCTAATTGGTTGTAACACATGCAGGTAATATCACAGAACTATATACAGAGTTAAACTGATCAAGACAAGAGAAAAACTTTTAAAAGAATCTGCCCTGAGATTTGCTTCCTCATTCCCATTCCAGCTGACTACACCCCTTGCTAAGTACATATTACAGGTACTATAAAAGTGCATGCTTGTGCATGAATGATATTGTACGGGGTTGAAAAGGAATGCAGTCTGTCAAACTGACTTAGCCCTTTAGAAATACCTACAATTTGTCAAGATAAATTTACATTTTGTCACAATGACTTTGCAATATCTTGTAAATACTAATTGTTATCACTTCAATTTAAATAATTCCACCTCTGATAAATGTTTGTACATTATTGAAAAATACATAAAAAAACTTTATTTCAGTAAATGAAGGAGAAGTCAACATTTGTGCCTTATAATGGAAGAATATATAAATCACATATGTATCAATGTATTGGTAAAAAAAAATCACCAAAAAACAAAAAAATGTTGGAAAAAATTCATAGAAACTGTTTTTTAAATTTTCAACTCTTGTATAATTTATAGATATGATAAGCACATTGCTCTGTACTAAACATGCCAACTTTAATGGGAGAAGTTTTGTCCACACATTAGTAAAGTGCATGTACACACCATTTTTTGACAAATTACATATCTTTGCAATAAAAATGTTCTTTAGATTATACTGCTGGATTTTAGTAATGTTAATGTAAATGATGTATTTATACAAGAGGCCAAATGGGCCTGAATCAATCACCTATTCCACAGCTACATAGAAGATATTGTCAGTTTGTTAGGCAAATTTCTGCAAACTTAGAAGCCCATTCTCAGATTACACAAATACCATGACCTAGGGGCTATTGGTCAAGAAGTTAAAAATTTCTTAACATATTTGAGCCTGTTCAAGGTCATGATCATTTATGCAAGTGAACTTGGAAGCCTTTCATCCCAGCAAACTACAGGCCCAATAAAAGCATCCTGAACCTTTTGGTTATTGCGAAGTTATTGGAAAAGATTGTAACATATTTTACCATGTGGCCTTGAAAGTCAGTCAAGGTAATTCATTTGAAAGAACAGAATAGTCCTTCATCCTAGCATGCTACAGGCCAAAGTACCAGTATCCTTGACCCTTTTGGTTATTCAGAAAGTTGCGTAAACGGAAAAGTTGCATCGACTCAGCATGAAAGAATGGACGCCAGACAGACAATCAATACATACAGTGCCATGACATGTAAAAGTCTGTTTGCCCTTTGGACAGGTGAGCTAAAGTCTGTTTGCCCTTTGGACAGGTGAGCTAAAGTCTGTTTGCCCTTTGGACAGGTGAGCTAAAGTCTGTTTGCCCTTTGGACAGGTGAGCTGAAATTTGTTTGCCCTTTGGACAGGTGAGCTAAAGTCTGTTTGCCCTTTGGACAGGTGAGCTAAAGTCTGTTTGCCCTTTGGACAGGTGAGCTAAAGTCTGTTTGCCCTTTGGACAGGTGAGCTGAAGTTTGTTTGCCCTTTGGACAGGTGAGCTAAAGTCTGTTTGCCCTTTGGACAGGTGAGCTGAAGTTTGTTTGCCCTTTGGACAGGTGAGCTGAAGTCTGTTTGCCCTTTGGACAGGTGAGCTAAAGTCTGTTTGCCCTTTGGACAGGTGAGCTAAAGTCTGTTTGCCCTTTGGACAGGTGAGCTAAAGTCTGTTTGCCTTTTGGACAGGTGAGCTAAAGTCTGTTTGCCCTTTGGACAGGTGAGCTAAAGTCTGTTTGCCCTTTGGACAGGTGAGCTAAAGTTTGTTTGCCCTTTGGACAGGTGAGCTAAAGTTTGTTTGTCCTTTGGACAGGTGAGCTAAAGTCTGTTTGCCCTTTGGACAGGTGAGCTGAAGTTTGTCATGTCTTTCTTTTCCTTTTAATTGTCTGACAAATCAGGGCTCTCACACCCCATTTTGGGACTGGGGCCCGGGGCCCTTAGAATTGGGAAAAATAGCGGCGTTTTCCTTAGAATTGGGTTAACCTGGGGTCTAAATTGGGAAAAAAAAGATACTATTTTGCATTGGGAATGGGGCCGATATCAAATCTTGCAGATCGAGAGCCCTGCAAATATATTATTCAGAAATGTAAGTACAAGAAAACATAGATTTATTCAAACATACATTTCATAGGATTCTAAAAACTGATCAAGTTTAATTTTGAACTGGTATCACAGAGTTCTTCTCAAGTGGATTGTACCAGTATCCACACTACGACAAAATGTAGTATTTGTTTTGCTGAATATATCTGTGCAAAAAGTGTATCCCCAGAATTGCAAAATATGTGTATACAGTATACACAAATGAATATTCAAAATAATCATATACATTTACACAGCTGGAAGAGATAACTGATTCAAATATGACCTATCCCCCACCCCTTCTCCCTTCCCAAATATTCTGGAATTAAAGCACCAAGCAAATCTATTATATATGTCGTTCAACTGTGAAGCAGTGCACCACTTGAATTATAATGTATATACCTGGTATCAAAACAGATCAAACCCTGTGCAAACACCTGCTGAATAAGTAAAACTTTAATTATTTCACAAGGGTCACAAAAGCTCAGTCACTAGAACTTTGGACTTTGAAATTTCAGGAGAATATTCCAGCGTAGTGGTTTGATCCCTAGAATGGTTTGTCTTTCTCCGAGATTATGGACTGCCATGTGCTGTCTTCATTGTGTCTTTTTGAAAGAGCGGAAACATTTCTCTAATTACTCTGGATAGTATGTGATGGGCCTCCCAAATGTTGTTCAGGGATAGACTACCATGTATACATGGAAACTCTGCCTCAAAACGACCCTGGCATCTCATGAGGCAATAACCTTAGCAAAATTATGTAACTATAGATTCCCCTATAGCATATGCACAATATTCATGTTTTTTTTTTTCCAATAAATATACAATAAATGTTCATCACTTTCAAATGAAACCAATCACTTTCTTTATTGTGCACACATGATTTACTTAGTCTTAATATTTTCATGGAACTAGCTAGAAATCAAGAATTTTAAATTCAACATCACAAAATGATGAGCATGTTTTATTGTCCAGTGGCCATTAGCAAGGTTCCAGTCCTGATTGCAGATATTGATTAAACCAGCAAGGGTCTGATCCAATAATCAATTTTAATGCAAGATCGATTTTGTATATCGATCATGAAGAATTAAAATCTAAAAATATATAGTTGCCAACAATTTTTTTTTAATTGAAATGTTATGTAACATTCCACTTGAAACTTGAAATTGAAATGGCACATATAGCCAATGTCATGCTATCATATTCAGAGAAGTGTTTTAAACACCATTAAACTAATAATGAACAAAAGACTGTCATTCCAGAAACTTCATCTGATATTGATGTCTTGTGAAATCTATCGACCATTTTACAAAACATTTGTTATTTTATAGATGAATTAATTTACTGATGAAACAAAATAACACATGCTATATCATTTAGCATGTTCTGATTTTCCACTTTTTTAATGAATGGAATATTAACTGATAGAGCAACTTGTATTATGTTTTGTTTAACCTTTCTTCATTTTCCCTCGGTTAAAGTTTGAATGCAGGCCCAGTCACAGATTACTTCTTGCCCTCACTTGTTCATATGACTGCATCTGATTCATATTAAGTTCATTGACTCCAGACTGTCACCAATATAACACAAAGTTGACAAAATGTCATAATAAGTTGGACTACTTGGACCACCAGACCAGGTCATCAGCCCTCTTGTCCTACAAATTGGTGTGCAGTTTAATTTGTTCAACTCTACTAATATTGTAATTTTAAGACTTTGTTATATAGTCTCTGTTACTGTCAGTCATAATTATCCCATATTTTTCTGTCACATTATTTTCATTGGAGGGGGGGACAAATAACCTTTATCCAATATCTGTTACATGGCATCAAGGTTATCTTTTATATAGAAAATGTTATGTATGTTGATTTGGTTGTAGAAAAAAACAGCTAAAAACAAATGAAAACCTTCCATCCTATAGCACATATATACACCTACCACGTATTTCATTGGTAGTCATTCCTGTCTTTTTTAAAGTCAGTTTTCTGTAATCTAAAATTCCTATGTACATTGATATAAGATGTTTTGTTGGGGTAGTATTTGTGCTGGTAAATAAGGTAAATATATGAAAAACACCACATGAGGAAGCAGTTAATATTTCAACACTTAGTATTTTGTAATTTAACTCTGATCCACCACTTACCAATTGCTAGTGTCAGTGATATGTCCTGGTTCTAGTACTACAGTGCCACCTGTCTATTTATATTATCATTTATGTGCAGCTAAAACCGCACAATTACATTTAAAATAAGAACTTAATTGAGTTCTTACAACTTTCAGTTACATAGCTATATGGATCATGACCTATAGCTACCACACTTGACAATCAAATAATGACTTGAACAGCAAACATCTGTAAATTTCGAAATTAAAATAACTCATTTATCAGGTTCACATAACCACGACATAAGAGGTCCATGTCTCCTGTCCCGCGTTGTGCTCCGTCCCGCCTACCCCCTCCCGATGTCCCATCCCCAGCATCAGCTGCTAGCACGCGCTTCTTTCGTTCTTTGTACATGTACCTGTGCCTTCCGGTCTCCCCCCTTGTGCCTTGATCCATAACAGTTGTCTCGTTTCTAATTTAACTTTAAGAGTCCGTCTTTCTGGTCTCCTCCTGGCAAAGAATATGGTCACAACCAGTCCTCGTTCTAAATTCCGTAGAGTATCCACAATTTCACAATTCGGACCATTCGTAACCGCCATGTTGAGTTATTTTCTCATGGAACCACAGACTTGATGGTATTCCGTTTACATTGTGGCGATTTAAATTTAAATGCACGACTGACACCGAAATGAGTGACCTGGACAGAAAATATCACATTAAACCATATTCAATAACTGTAAGTCAACCATTCCAACACATTTTCAGTTTGTTTTCTTCCGGGAATGAGTCCAAATGGTATCAGGTGCTTGAAGGGAGGTAACTACAAGCACCTGTTGCTCAAGGGAAGTAACTCGTTTCTGACTGTCACGGAAGATTAATAAACAGTGATTAGATACACTCCAGTACCGGTGCATTAATCTCTATCGGTACTACGAATATAATCCGTAATATTGCTCATGGTATACCTGGTGTTTAATTATCTACTATATCTAGAACAGTAAATATTTGTAACTCAAATGTTAACTGTGATGATGATGTTTTAAAATGTCCGGTCACTGATCTATACATATCTACATAAGTTTGAAATTGTTATTTGGCTTCATTCAATGATAAGGTTACTGGCCGACGTTTCTAAGTCAATAAATCGTCCTAGGATATTATGTAAAGGCTTTTAAGATAGACCTACTTAGCTTCAGTGTCCGTGTGGACTATTATAAGCATTTATTGATTGTAATTGTTTATGTGTCAGCTGCCAGAGAATTGGCCCTGTCCAGTGACCTATACATATCATTGCTGCTATATATAGGTGGTCATTTCGGATCACTCTCCAACACCGACAACATTTATTATTGTATCTAGTGATAAAATGACGATTTGAACAGATCGTTATTTTACAAGTTTTATAATATTCAAACAGTATTCCGTCAATAACCTCAAGTTCACATGGGCACCGTTGGTAGAGTTTTTTTTTTGGAAAAGGGGCTTGTGAAGTAAATTAAAATTACAACATAGGCCTACTACCCCACTGCTATGTGCCTCAGTTGTTCTCTTGTATTGTTAAAATGTCACATTGTGACAATCGGTCTTGTCACCACGGGCTACACCATCTGTCGTCATCACCATGGTAAATACTGGCGAGAGGAAATCACAATTTACGTTTGTATGATATGTAACAGAAGTCACATTACCGTGACGTACATCTGTGAGTAATGTTTAAGATTGACAACGTTGTTCTATCGTTGTGGTACATTCCAAATTCTGTTGAAAGACAAAGTTGCTAAGAAAATATATGATTGTCTCACGGGAAATTCGATACATGTGGCATTTTATTTGAACTGTAAATAAATGTTACTGAATTGTAAAATGGGCTTAGGGGGCATTTGGAAGCAAAGTAAGTGAGAATTTATGAAATGTCCCACATAAAGTGATGATGTAATTATCTAATACGGTTAAACTAATACATGTACAGCTATCGCGAATCAATAATCATTTAAATGTATTCTATTCACTACAAAATGTTTGTCTAACACTTAAAATATTACATATTAGCTAGGGGGGGGGGTTAGGACAAAATTACCATTTCCATATGAGGCGTGTGTATATCGTTAAGTTCTGAAGGGGTAGACACTGTCTGTATATCAATTATTATGATTTTATCCTCAACAACGCATTATTGAAGAAAAGGTCTTTAGGGCCGACGAATAACGAATTACAAGCTTCATACGATAAAAGCTTTTAAAGAAAAGGTCAAATTGACTGAAGACCGAGGCAAAAGGACTTTCATAGATTTAAAAGTGATCTCGTGTATTCTTAAGTCCAATACAATAAAAAGCATTTCAAGTATAAGTACATTGTGTGTAAATCCTTGACAGATATACTTCATGTAGTGCTAATTGCACGCCATAATTCTCAATTCTCCAGAACCCAGGGCAGCAGTAAGCCTGCATTGAGTTGATGTTGCTACAAGGAATCTAAGATCCAGTGACAGTCTGGTCATACAATGATGACTTGAATTCAATATAGAGAGTTTAAGTCCTAATATCAAAAACGAAGACGACATACCATTAAATTATATTTTTTTGTTTGTTTTTAATGATATAAACCTAGCCCCAGTTAACTATTATCATTTTTTAAATAAAGCATATAAAACATCACCGAGACTTTAGAGAAAAATAAGGGGAAAACATCGGGTGTGGAAGACGAGGAATCATCGTGTACAGATATTTTATCGGAAAAGGACATAAGGTCTTATAGTCATAAATACTAAATTGAAATGTGGTTGCCTCCCTTCCTCTGCAGATTGCCACGGTACTTCCCAAGCTAAATCATGTAATCTTATTGTTTGTGATAGGTTTACTAGCATTTCTAAGTAGAATCATTTTATTGCGAGACTGTGTAAATATATTGTCTACATCATTTCATCAACAGTGTCCTACTCCAATATTACTGATTGAAGTGTAAGGTTATAAAGGAGGAAACTCTAGAAATTGACACAAAAACAAGAATGATGATATTTTGGCATAAACTTATAACGAATGAAACGACATTATATAGAGCGCTGTATAAATGAACGTATAAGAGTTAGCAGGATTCCATTTTCACACCTTAGTGGTTACTACTTACCAAAGACATCTTAAATGATTCTGGCTTTAATAGACCAGATTCCAGTTATCTTATGAGGCCAAATCTATAAATCTCAGTTTCATTTTGAACCATACTTATTAGAACTTAAGAATTAGCGGAACGAAATCTTTTTGTAACTTTAAAACTTCTAATTAAACATTTCTTTCAGAAAAAGTAAGATGGAATGACGTCACTGGTGAGGTTATGTCGTCTTTGTATAAACTGTATTGGAGATGAATGCACGCTACGCATGTAAGTTTTAAAATTAAAACAATTTATCTAAAACAACAGGATTGCTTATTTTGGTTGCTGATGTAGAATAATGAATGAAGTTATTTTTGAGTCAAATTATCATCGACCCTTATAGTGTCTCAAGACAAACTCATGCCATAACGCCATGGAATAAAACATCACTATAAACAATAGATTAAAAACAATTTGCAGGATTAAAAAAGGCAAACAGTTACATTAATTAAACTTAGTATTGTAGCAATAAACTAGCTTAAAGTTACAAAACAAAACCTTGGACTGACATGCCATACTGAGGTCCTGTGAACAATCCTTTATAAGGCCGATTTACATACACGATGTTGTATATTGGATTTGTAGCATAAAGCACATCTCATATTGTCCAATATATATTTGTATATACATCATGTTAATTCACTGATAATGATGTTAATGGAAATAGTCTATTACGTGATATGAACACCTGAATCGCAATGTATATCATAGATACGAGTTGTACAAGGGAGACATATTATACACGGGTACAATTACGACAGGTGACTCAGGGCTTTTGAATCAACAACATAATTATATATACTGAACAAAATAAGTTAAGGATCATAAACTTGAAACAGTGCAGTTTTACATACAAATAATAATATGATTATATTTTAAATTTTAATGACAGAACATTCATTTTAGTCTTTAATTACACAAAACAAATTCATTTGTGGTAATTGCTACCAAGAGCAGATAATCCTGAGTAACAGCACCCTTGAAATCAAAGTGTAAGAGGAAGTAGAGCAAGTTAATCATGTAGACAAGGAAAACTCATCAAACTGCAATTGGCAGTTTAATAGGCAGTATGACCTCCGTTGACATCAATAACTACCCTGCAACGTCTGCACATGCTCCTTATTATTCGTCGGTGGCTGATCTGTGGGATGCGCTGCCATTCCTCTTGCAGAGCAATCATAAGCTGTTGGCGGTTCTGTGGCGGATTAGGTCGAGCTGAAACCCGGCGTTGCAAGGTGTCCCAAGCACGCTCGATAGGGTTCAGATCAGGAGAACGACTTGGCCAGTCCATGCGAACGATTGCTTCACGTTGAAGATAGTCGTTGACCACACGAGCACGGTGAGGACGAGCATTATCATCCATCAGAATAAAATCATGGCCAACAACTCCTGCAATGGGCCTTACTATAGGGTGTAGAATCTCGTCCCTGTATCGAACAGCTGTTAAAGATCCATTGTCTATGATGTAGAGGTCTGTATGGAAGTCAACACTGATCCCTGCCCAAACCATCACTGACCCACCACCAAAGCGATCATGCTGGACAACACAGCAGTCTGCATAGCGCTCTCCTTGGGTTCTCCATACCCTCCTCCTACCGTCATGGAAGTCAACACAAAACCTAGACTCATCTGTGAACATAACATTTCTCCAATGACGTAATTGCCAATTCAAATGATGAGTGGCCCATTGATGTCTGGATTGTCGATGACCTCTGGATAAAATTGGTCGGACTGCTGGTCTTCTAGCTCGTAAATTAGAGGCATGGAGTCTGTTTCTGATTGTCTGGGATGAAATCCTTAGATTTGTAGCAAGCTGAAACTAAAGATTCAAGACAGGAGCACTCAAAAACCGCTGACGTCGTGCCGTGATGCAAATGAATCTGTCCTGTCGGGCTGTCGTACAGCGTGGTCGTCCAGATCTGGGGCGTTGACGGACGTTATTTGTCTGTTGATAGCGATTCCATAGCCTACTAATCACGCTCTGAGAAACATGAAGCTGTGCCGCCACATTTCGTTGAGTTTGACCAGCTTGAAGGAGCTCTATAGCTCGCGCGGCTTCCATATCATTTAAATGTCTTCGCATGATTAGTTTTTCAAGTTTTCGTTACAAATTGATTAAATGTTTCCAAATTCAACTTTTTTTAGCTTAGAAGTAACAGAATCAAAACCTGCAAGATTCCTCTGTAGTAATAGACCAGTCAGTTTTTCACACCACCATAGTTAACTAGAGCGGAACGGCAAGACCTTCAGATGCACGTGCTTTCACCTTTGACATGACTTTAGGTACATATTGGAGAAACTACGAGTGCAATTACCGGCAATACATGATTTGAATTTTTAAAGATATTATGGTCACAATTTATGATCCTTAACTTATTTTGTCCAGTATATAATCCATTGTGTTAATTTACTGATGTTTCAGACATTGTGACACAAATGACGACGGAAGGCAATTGTTTACTTTGTACTCTATCATCATACAATGTACTGCCATTTCGAGAGTTATTGTGCTGATTGTCAAATATACTGCCGGTACGAACTCATTTCAGATCATTTGTAATCTGTATTGAGTTTTAATTTTGTTTCGATATATCTGCTTACACGTTTTTAATCTATCAAGTTTTGTGTGAATAGAAACAAACTAATTGAACCAGTAACTGGATCAGAAAGCCAACTTTAATGCGAATTTATGATTTAGATTAATTTTGTTTTCTCTTATATTAGATTTACGTTCACGTGACAGAGCATGCACACATGATTGACTTATGAAGTTAGCACATCTCCTTGTCTATATTTTGACATTTGTTTCGACCAATGTGGATTTTCCAACGTCGCCTCCTAGGTTTCAACATTTTAGCTGGTCTCTAACAATAATAACTTTCGAGTCCTAGAAGGACGAAACACTTGTATGAAGTAGTTTAGTTTCCTGTTTGGATAGAATGTTCGTATTTTTAGCTTTGTATACAAACAACATCTTAATTAAAACTCCAATTCTGTGAAACTAGGACAGAAGATGAACAAAAGATTTATACAGAGATTAGTAAAAATTTTATACGGACTATAAGGCACTATTAATACTCGTGTGTAAATGTACAATCCTCTCACATTATATCTAGTGAACTTTGAAGGAATCATTTTGCTTAAATCATGTAACAATAACATAAACCGCCAGCAATGTTCACCAGGGAACAGAAAATCATGCTTCAAGAGGTTAAAACGTATTTTATGTTGTATGACATGTACGTACAATACAGATGTCACGACATGTATTAGCGGAATTACCACGGAGTTAATACTTGTTTTCATATTTATTTTAACTCATGTTTTTTTTTCTCTCCATTTTTTATGTCAAATACTCTTTATATTTACTCTCAACTTTTGATCTTTCCAAAACTTTCATCGTTATATACATATGTAAGTCGGCAAGACAAAAAAAAGACGTGAAGTCTTTATCATATACAAGATTTACACGTACAGTTATAGTAGTTTGTAATGGAAATGTAACATTCAAATGAAAAAAAAGTGTTTGAACAAAACAGCCCTTGTATATCCTTTCAAAAACCGACCTTATCATCGCCAAAACCACCGTAGAAATTTACCCCCCCACCACCACCATGTCAACAGTATGCCCCTCATGTTCTTATTCTGAAATATATGCTGGTTCAGCGTTAAGTTCATTACTTAATTTCTTATCATCATCATCATCATCATCATCATCATCATCATCATCATCATCATCATCATCATCATCGTCATCGTTAAAAAAATAAAAACGATAATAATAAAAAAAACCCACTTTTGCTGATTTTTTTAGATATGATACTAACAATATCTTTTACAAAATTTCTAGAAAAAAATTCCTTGGAATTTATTCATGTAATACATCAATTAAGAACACGTGTTAAAATCTTCATTTCCTCAGCCTGTAACAAGGTGTTTTACCATTGTTCTGAAAATCCATTTATTTTACAGGATGGTCAATGTCAAGGACGACCGTTGTTCTGAATTCGGCTCGTAGGAGTGGGTGATTGTACAAGACAAAACACTCATTCTAACTTAATCTATATTTATGTAACGTCTAGTCATTTGTATCAAGTCATTACGAAGTAATTTATTTCCGGGAAAATTTAATTTATTCATCCACTAAGATTCTTTTTCGTTTGCAGTGCACGTGTCCTTGTTTTCCTGGTACGAATGACATGTCAGCATAATTACATTCCATATCGATAATAAGGCATTTTAACATTTAATACTATTTTACTCATGTAAAATTATTGTTTATCTAACTCGGGAAAATAGAATTTCATTTTCGAGAAAGAAAATTTGTTTATGCTTTCGTTTTCTTCTCCTTCTTCTCTTATCTGCATTGCATCTTATTCTAGAATTGTACAGTGTATAGATTGCAAAAACAGACATACAAAAATGAGCGTACACCGACTTGACGTGGCACATTACGTAATGCTGTCATACATATGCTAGTTTGTTTAAAGTACATTCCAGGTCTTTTATACAAACCTTTCTAACAAGGATGTCAGAATGAAATGGTTTACAGGGATTTAAATACATGTTTAAATCCTACTAGATGTCTCTCTCTCTTAAATCATTATTTTTATTTTTTGACGATACGATATAAAATAGATCTGGTTAGAACACTTGTGGTGATGAGCCAAATGTCATTAAGTTCAGTCTTCAGGTGTTGGAAATAACATACTTGTAAAGTATACATATGTGACTCCACCATTATAAAACACACACAAGTGATTAGCATCTTATTGTACAAATTAGGAGTTCGTTTGAACTGAATCATACAACTGTTTTGTCCTCCTAGGACTCGTCAGTGAAATTACATCATACATCTGTTTTGTCCTCCTAGGACTCGTCAGTGAAATTACATCATACATCTGTTTTGTCCTTCTAGGACTCGTAAGTGATATTAAATCACATATCTGTTTTGTCCTCCTAGGACTCGTCAGTGATGTTACATCATACATCTGTTTTGTCCTCCTAGGACTCGTCAGTGATGTTACATCATACAGCTGTTTTGTCCTCCAGTATACAGTATTTGCGACAGCAAATGTTATCAGCAAAGGCGTCAACATGGCTGCAATGTTGATGCTAGAATTCTCGTCTGATGGGCATTCCGTGAAAGTGGGCTGGAAAACAACTCAAATATATTGACCCCAGACTCCTCAGAAACTATTGACGAGTTTAAAGAACGTTTTCCATATGCATATCTGTTATGGGTGGCATTTATCCAAGGAGGTTTTTACCCGATCAATATGAAAACCATTCGACTTTCCGGGTACTGTGATTTACAAATATTACAATACTTTGGTAATTAAAAATCAACAAGGGTGTTCGGGACAAGAAAACTTATACAGTTGTGTGTTCAGGACACCTGTCAATTAGTCCAGACAGGCCAGCAGAGAATTTCATAGCTTACTTCTATGAGCAGGAATTTTCAGTGCAATGATGTAATGATATGCATGGGGGAGGGAGGGGGTAGAATCAGTAATGAAGGACAATAGGTGTGCAACAGTTTTAATGACAAGGGAGGCACCAGGTTACCATACCAACACAAATGCTAATTAGGAATATCCCACTCAACAAAGACCAGAGAGAACCTTCTGTGACATTTTCGTTTTAGTCAGTCAACAGTATAGTTCTGAGCCAAGCCTTCATCAAAACTGATGTTTTGTTTCGAGTTAACCCGAGGTCTTTCACGTTCAATTTAGATTTTTTTAATATAAAAAGCTTGCACCCAAGACATACTAAACTAGTAATTCAGTCAACATCTAAATAAGTAAATACTGCTGTCATAGGACCACTGGATACAGATTATCCTTGCGATCGAATGGAAGAAGTCAATATTTCACAGAAAAACATAAATAGTGGATCTTTATGCATCTCATTATAATGACGTCATTGCTTACATTGTTGGTCTAATCTACAAATAAGGATACATAACAATTATTGACATTTGATGCTATGACGTACTGTAGTATCTTTAATTTTCGTGGGCTCAAATCTAGTGGTTTAAAAAAATCACCATAAATATAGCAAAATAAATCTACTTATACTTATTCATATAATGGATTTAGGGTACCCACGAACTCCATGAAATAAATTTCTTTTACACAAATTAATTACTTACAGAGTCTTAAAATAATAAGAAAGGTAAAAAAAACAAAAAAAAAAAAAAAAAAAAACCTAGCGTTTTTATTCTCGTCAAATATAGGGGAAGTGGTCATATGGTGCCTAGTGCTAATCTTCTGTCTTAATATTACGTCAAATTATTTCAAATAAAGTTATGTAATTATGAAAATAATTACTTAAGCAATTTCAAATATGTAAATCAGTATTTCAATGGTGAATCAGTATTTAATTATTCATATACATCATTCATATACACACGTTTTCAGCGTGGAACTCATTTTCACAGGCGATACAAAGCAGTGGTAGAACCATACCATATGAAAAAGCAACGTTGTCGGTAATTACTTACGTATATTAGAAATACATAATCGCTCTCCTTATCATAAAATCACAGACACATCACCTTGTGCTAAAGTTGAACTTTATTTTTTATTTTGACAAAAGCAATCTTCTGAATTCGGTTACATTCTCTCTTTTGCGGAATAAACTATTAACGAATATTATGTTAATAGAATAAGCGCAAGAATGTACATGCCAATTTAATTTAATCATCATTTCGGCACGTCCTCTTTCCAAAATTGGTTTTGACATCATCCACATCGAAACGTTGAATGGGGCGATTATTTCCAAATTTACTCAGTGGCGGATTGCCCTTCTCCCATGTCTCCAAATTCTTCAACACTTTGAAATTCTGATGAAAAAAAACTCATATTATATTACAGAATCATAATTCATTATCATAAAGTACATATCTTGCTGTCCTGTATTTTGTTGTTAAAGTCAGCACTACGTCAAGAAATTTTTTATCATTTTAAGATGTTGTCAAGCCAATTCGTTTCATACATCTGCTGTAATTTTAATTGGGTTGTTGAGCGGAAATCTTAATTTGTTTAATTCTGATCAATGTGTCATTAAAGAGTATTTTATAATATTATTATGGGACTCAAATTTCATGGTTTATAATACTTCACGGAAACTTGATATTTAGTGGATAAAGATAACTCTGCATATATTTATTTTAACAGCTCGTGGACCATATCAAGATAACTTGCAAAATCATTTTTCAAAGTGTTACAGCTCACATACAACTCAATATCAGTTTTATAAAGTGTTACAGCTCACATACAACTCAATATTAATTTTATAAAGTGTTACAGCTCACATACAACTCAATATCAGTTTTATAAAGTGTTTCAGCTCACATACAACTCAGTATTAATTTTATAAAGTGTTAAAGCTCACATACACCTCAATATCAATTTTATAAAGTGTTACAGCTCACATACAACTCAATATCAGTTTTATAAAGTGTTACAGCTCACATACAACTCAATATTAATTTTATAAAGTGTTAAAGCTCACATACACCTCAATATCAATTCTATAAAGTGTTACAGCTCACATACAACTCAATATTAATTCTATAAAGTGTTACAGCTCACATACAACTCAATATTAATTTTATAAAGTATTTCAGCTCACATACAACTCAATATTAATTTTATAAAGTATTTCAGCTCACATACAACTCAATATCAGTTTTATAAAGTGTTACAGCTCACATACAATGACATTAGTATGTAACGTTACTCTATTGTCTTGGAAGTGGAAATCATGTCTTCTATCCGCTGAAGATTATAGAGGATAAGCATACAAAAATGGAGGTATGCTTCGGTTTGATACGATTATAACAAACAACCAGACCTGATGTCTAGAGCTAATTCGGTATACAGCATACATAATCAAGATATTTTATAGAGCATGAAAATATAACCCACCTTCTTACAGACAGTTGTCGGAGTCTTGAACACAATCCACAAGAAATCAGGAGTACAAACGGGCGTTGTCTTGGAGCCAATGTAGGTGTAAAATTTCCCATCCTTGGGCAGCACCCGCTTTGGTTGTACCTTCGCGTCTGTAACATATGTCAAGTTGATATATGTGTTAATATGTACGTTTTCATCGACCGAAAAAAGTAAAATGAATGACAGCCAGTAGGAACAAGATGACTGAGCAGATCTACTTTTATGATTGACTGACAAACAAGCAAATTTGTTCTCATGATCCCATCTAATTTTTAAAAGGTAATTTTAAAGTAGAAAGTATGGAGAAGATCCATTTCATTAAGACTATGGCAAAACAACTTGCATCAAGTAAGGAACTCTATATCAATGCTATTATCAAATGTTTGGTTTATATCATCATAAAAAAAAATCAGGGAAAAAATTAAAAAGAAACGAGTTTAAACTAGGGACAATGAATTCATTCCTGGTAAACATAAATCCAATGACTCTTCAGATAATATGTTTAATCTTATTTGGTCTCCTGTACACAATGACTTTGTTATGTATCATCTTTGATTTATTATACAATTCTGACAGATCTGAGTATCAGCAGATTATGAAACAAAATCACCGTATGTATCCTAAATATGTTAAAAGTAAAGAGCAGAATAGTCAACGTTACCTGTTTCGTCCAAGTAGTTTGGAATTTGGGTTACATATTGGGATATCAGTTTATCAGCATAACTTCCGCATTTCTTCACCACCTGAGTACAAAAATGACAATAAAAATATATCAGCATACACTGTTTAAACGGAAAAAAACAGTGACTACAGTAAGACAACAGGAAAGACAATACGAACATTTGTCTTCTTATCTTTGGCAATTGACTATTTTGACATTACAGATGTAAATGATTCTCTGGTATAAAAATTTGGTAACGTCCTTTTAAGAATAGGAGGAGGAGGATTTACGCTTAAGAACACTCCTAGGAGCGGAAGGAGGAGAACTTGCGTTAATGAACATCCTAGGAGCGGAAGGAGGAGGAGAAATTACGTTAAAGAGCGGGAGGAGGCGGGGAGAGGAGGAGGCAGAGGACTTACATTAAAGAACACTCCTACAGCCACAACGTCTTTTTCATCTTTGTCCTTCTTTCCATCTTTGTCCTTCTTTCCATCATTGTCCTTCTTTCCATCATCATCGTCATCATCGCGTTTTACCCTTTCGTGCACCAAGTGTATCTAGTATATAAATGTTTGCAAATAGTTTTAAATGTTAACAGGGAAAATATTCAACATTGAACAGTTATTAATTACACGAATGTGTTGTAGGTATGGATTGGAATGGTTACCTTGTTATAATAATGCCTACACGACTGTATTTTGGAAATAACAGTCTTACTCTGTAGGCCAAATCTCTTA